GGGGGGGAGATGGGGGCCTCTTTGATCCCCTCTCTGGGCCCGTGCAGTGTGGGGGGGTGGGGCGAGGTAGTCCCAGCAGGGGGGCGACCCCTCAGGCGGTGGTGGTGGGCTGGGTGGGGACCTGGGGGGCTCGGGCCTCTCTGATGCATGGCGGGCTTTCCTCCAGGGGGGTGTGTGAGTGTCTGGCTTCCAAGCCTCCTTGGTTCTGGACCAGGCTCGTGCCGGGGCTGGGGGTTGTGGGGTGAGGGCTTCCTGTCCGGCATCCTCTGGTGGGGCTCCTCACGCAGGGGGCTGTTGTCCCGGTGCTCCCTCGCATGCTCCTCAGCAGGTTGGGCATGTGGCCGGGGCCCTTCATTCTGGGGACAGCTGGGGGCCCTCAGTAGTGACGTTGGTCATGGGGTCAGGGGGGTGTCATTACTGCCCCCCCATCAACTACTGACACACACACACACACACACACACACACACACACACACACACTTATTTTAATGATAAATTCATATTATGTTGTGGTTGATGTTGCTGTTGTTATTGTTACTGTTGTAGTTATCAATGTTGTTATTGTTGATGTTGCCACTTGTTTTATTTTTATATTATCATTATTACTTACGTTTTGTTTTTCTTTGTTTTGTCTTTTTTTGTGTGGTCCTGTCAGGGATCCGGGCGGCTCGAGCACAGGAACGAGGCATGGTGCAGGCACAGAAAGGGCGGACGACCCACTTGCGGCTCCAGGAAAACAAAACAGGGTTTATTAAACAAAACAGAAAAACACTACTAAACCAAAAAGGACCACGAGGAGTCAAAAACTAAAGGGGATTAAACAATACTAAATAACAAAAACCGAATACACGTAGAACACTGAAAATATCTAAACCATCTAACATCCATGAAACAGAACACAATCAACGAAACACTCATAGACACACAATGAACCACTGGGGAACTGAACAGAAGCAGGAACTAAAATACTAAGGGGTAACGAGACTAACACAGGACAGGTGAGGCTAATTAACACAGACCAGGGAAACAGGGCACAGGTGAAACTAATAAACTCAAAGGAACTAAAAAACAGGGAAACTAAGAACTAACCAAGGACACAGGGAAACAGAAACCAACACTAGGGAATTAAACAGGTAAAGACACAAGCAGGGGCACAAGTAACAAAACCAAAACCCACTACAAAATCAAACACAAGAACTAAAGAAACGGGGAAGGGACAAGGTAGGACCACAGCAGGGGCTGACCCTGACAGGTCCTTTTTCTTTATTCCCCCCCCCCTTTTCTCTGTCTCCCCTAACCTCTGCTTGTTGTCTGCTTTATATAAAAGGAAAGAGGAAAAAAAAAAACTTGCAATGGAAATTAAAAATAAAGCAGTCCTCCGTGGGGGGTGGGGGGTTGAGGCAATATAAAGAAATAAGGAGGAAAAAGCTGCTGGGGGTTCACAAGAAATCAATGAGTTTCTCAGAACTGGTCAATGGAAAAAGCAGACATATACAGTATGCGTTACACACACAGCAGGTGCAATGTGGGGCCTCGTCATTGTTGGGTGAGATGCGGGAGACTCCATGCCATAGGAGTGATGACAAAGCATGGCCGATCCAAGCCATGGTGTCTCCCAGCCGGCTGGGGAGTGTCAGCAGATCTGCATTATGAGCTAGCGGAGGCTCGTCGAGGCCTAGGCTGAGCTGCCTTTAGTGCCTGACCCTCACTGGGGAGAGCAACCAGAAGATAAAAGTGAAGGATCATCCAATGCTCTGCTGGAAAAGGCAGCTCTGCAAGAGCAGGAGGTCTGGAGGAGACAGCAGAAAGACTGAACACAACCGGAATTTGGTAGATTTCATGGAAACGTTACCTCTTTTACCTTATATAGTAAGAAACAAACAATTTATAACTTTCATTTTATCATGTATTTATGCAGGTCACACTTCAAGTAAAGGATTATTAATTACCAAGGGCATGAGGAGACACCTTAGAGAAAGTAAATGCATGTATTCGACAGAGTATAAAAGCAGGATAAGCGTTTGACAGACTGTGAAGGAAAGATTATACAACATTCTTTATTCCATCAACAAAGGATTATTTCATCAGTTCAGTTATTAAGGTAATAACCACACTTTTATGTGTTGACATACCTCTCAGGCTTCAAGGTGAAGAATAAAGATTTCAGTTATTTAAAGGCGGTCATTAAAGTAATTTAAGTTATTATAAGTATTAAAATGTGAATACTGTAATCCTTTGGTCACTGAGGTGCTTTGACTATGGGGGGGGGTGATGGGAATTTAAATGACTGGGGTTTTAAAGGCTAATTTCAGTTTCTTTTGATTCAGGGTTGCTGTCAATTGGTATTTTCCTCTCTGTGCCTGCAGCGATCTGAAGGACAAACTTGACACTATTCTGCAAGATACCAATTTCTTTGTTTCCTTTTCAGTTTATTTATTTTTTATGTTATTCTTGTTTAAATGGGTTCTCCATGTGACCCTGCACTGGGCACCTGGCTGTAAGATGGATAGATGTATGTATGGATGGATGCAGAGTCAGGGATGGGCTCCCTCAAACCAGTGCCAACCCAACCTCGGTCAACACTGATGCCCTCCATGAAAATCTTGAGCCTAACAATCAGATTTGTTTCTGTGGATGGATGGATAGTTTGACTTCCTTTTGTGTCTGTACGGTTTGTATTGCCTTGACTACCTTCTTACACACACTAATCTGTAAAAGGACCTTTCCCCAATAAAACCTCTCCTGTCCAGGATCCCATGGTTCAGCTTGCCATAGTAACTGGAGTGACACTAGGCAGAGTTATTATTACACACTGGCTAGAGTGAATCACTCCAACATTCTGATGAACACTGATCAGTAGGACATGGAAATGGGCTTTTAATAACTTTAATAATATACGTTGCTGATCAGTGGTTCCCAGCTGATGACCTATTGGCACCTGAGGAGTTGCGACAGGCAGAAATGTCAAAGCAGGTCAACACTGACCTGCATAATCAATAGCTAACCTGACTTGATTTGAAAGTACTTGCAAATCGACATACACTTATAGAAGTTTCATCTCAAACAGAAATATTAATACCAAAATAGAAAGGTACTGAAAATACTGAGAAGGGAATTTATTTCTAGAAAATCCATAATCACACTATCTATTCAAACTGGCAAGCGCCCATTATAACCCTGCATTTAGCCCAGTGGTTTTGACATTACATTTGTCAGATGGGGCTGATAATCCCTGGAAAGCCTGCTTCTCCTTTACAGGCCTCCGGGGGCTAAAGGTGCACAAAGGCTAATACATCAGGAGTAATATGACTGAGAAATCCTGCTATTGGCAGGGTTAGGGGTCCCGCACCTGGGGGGAGCAGGCAGTGCTGAAGGCAGCCGGAGCAGAGCTGCGCAGACACTCAGGTGCTAAAGAGCATTTAAAACAATAAGGCCAGGCTCCTCTGAGGAGACACCAGCCACGAAAAGCAGCAGTATAGCCCCCCCATTCACACCATCCATCAAATGGGAATAGCAGCAATAAGACAGTGTCAATCTTCATGGTTCGTTTGGCAATCTGACCCAAAAGTTCTGTATGGTTTATATGGTTTATACATACATCATACATATATTATATATAATATGTGTGTATGTGTGTTTGTATATATCTTCACAAAATATCTTGGGATGCTTAATTCTATAAACACATTGCTATTGTATTTGTTCCATAACAAAAGTCCACTCACTAGTAATGTTTCACATCTTCCACACAGACATTTTCTTTTTATTAATTGTCATGATGCATGTGAGCGGGTTGCACAGTGCACAGTGCTGCAGACATTAGCGCTGATGCCTCACGCCTCTGGGACCAGGGTTTGAGTCTCTGCCAGGGCTCCATGTGTGTGGAGTTTGCATGTTCTCCCCGTGTCATTGTGGGGTTTCCTTCAAATGCTCTGGTTTCCCCCCACAGTTCAGAAACATGCTGTAGTTAATAGGAGTTACCAAATTGCCTATAGGTGCGTGAGTGAGTGGCGTATGAGTGAATGAACTTTTTGCTGTTGTTTTCCTGAGAAGCACGATCAGACTGACGGATGTCAGTGTGAGGCATCAGACCTTCAGCTGCTCTCTGTGGAGGCCGATTGACTGCCTACTGATGGACTACACCACACTGCGGACATCACACCTATTATGGGATGCCTCCCACGGCATTTTCAGTGATAGCATATAGTATAGGGATATTCAGGATTGTTTACCAATTTTTCTACTTCATGGGGCATGAATTCCATCCATCCATCCATAACCAACTATGCAGTACAGGACTACAGGAAGTCTGGAACCTACTGAAGGTTGGGAGAACACCCAGTCTGTCACAAAGCCAGTCTGTCACAAAGCCAGTCTGTCACAAAGCCAATCTGCCACATGGTAATTGTTTTTCATTTTAATTAGACCTGAAGTGTATTGTGATCAATATACATTCACAAAACCCTGAGATGAATGAACAATATTTTAATTAAATCAAAATGTAATAAACATGCAGTTTCAATAAAAGTAACTGAACAAAGGGTGCCCCCCCCCCCAAACCAATTCTTTGAATGGAAAGTTGGTTTCATTTAAACAATCCGTTTGATCGAATGAGTTCTTCAACTTGAACTGAACTTTCCATCACTAGTGTTAATGGAAAGCTGGGTAATGTTAAGTCTCAAAGTAGGCTAGTCCTTTACCGCCGGGCCAGGCTGTAACTTTGTCCATCCTGAAAACTGTCGCTATAAATGAAAATTACAGGCAAGTTGCTATCATTTAAACAATAATTTATCTTGTATTTATACATGTAAATTCAGGGGCATATGCAGATCTGGGGGGTGGCAAGGGACAGTGAAGGCCCCCTAGACTGAAACCTGGGCACTGCATTGGCCACCCCAGTCATATTTGCATTTTTGCGGTTAAATCAAACTTTGATTAAAATGATTTTATTTTTTAACTGTTCCCCGATGTCCCTGATAAACTGATAAAGAATGAGCTCATAGTGCTATTGAGCTAAACATCAGAAAAGTAGTAATGCAGAAGTTTGGGAATGTTGTGCTTAGTGTAAGTTTGTTACCTTAACTGCAAGAAATTAGATCTACCAAATGTGTACTTGATAATTCCACCACTGTCTGGATTATAAACAGTGCAGCGTTACGGCATTTAAGCTCCTTGAATGTTCCCTTATTTTCAAGACGCCTTATATTCATATTTAGATTTATGTGCCGCCCCAAAATGACCTCTGGTCCCCCTGGCCACCCCACTGAAAATTCCCTGTTCATGGGGCCCCTACCTTCCCGCATGGTATGCCCACCCCTGGGGGCACGTTTGTGAGAAATTTAACAAAAATCAAGGAGGAGGAAACTAGGAAGAACTGAACACCAAAAAAAACATCTGTTTTCTGCTGTATGTAAATATTTTGAATTCATAGAAACGATATTTAGCCAAAGCAAATTTTTATTAATACTGCAATATTTATCGCAATAATATCAAATATCACAGTGTTCATTTCACCAATATTGTGCAGCCCTCTTAAAGTGAATATGGACATGAATAAGTACAAGACGGACTGGGAGCAGAATAGTTATTGATCTCTGTGCCATCTGTGTCTTAATGATTAAAACACACCACTAAAGAGATGCCCAGGTAAAGCCGCCTCTCTGATGTGTCAGACCACTCTAAACGCAGAAGAGTCCTACACAATCAACAGGGGCAGGTAGGTCTTTGATGCTGTGGCCATCGCCTGGCGGGGATACCCAGCCCATATAAGGTGTGCTGGGATAAAGCTCTGTATCGATCACATGTCACATGCTTCCAAATCAGCAAATCAGTGGCGAGGAAGCGTCTGTCTCTGACTTCGCCAGAAGCCAAGGGAAATGGCACGTGTGAGAGAAACGCATCTAGAGGCAGGTAGGCTGGTGCCTGCTTCAGACAGAACAGACAGCGACGGGTGCAGTTAACGGAATCCATTTGTGTCAGTGTAGTATCGAGTATCCGCGTATCGAGGACCTCCAGATTATTCTGTCACAGGGTCGATAGGGGGGGGTCAGGGCATTATTGATAACAGTTTAGGCCTTATATTATTACAGTTCATTAAATAGGAAGCCATGACTCCGGACACCTCAGTTTGCTTATTTAGATTTAGTAAAGCTATTTATAATGGTAGCTGCTTCTAAGTAAGGTTGGTAAGCAAGAAGATTATGAAAAAAACATTCAGGCTGCAAGGTCATATATATGATGGGCTCCTGTACCCAGACGAAACCCCGGAAATTTTTGATGACGTAATTGTCTCGTTTTTTTTTTTTTACTTAAACATCTTTTCGCTTTTTAATTTTTAGAAAATGTTTTCATTTGTCGTGTTCTCAACAAACAACAACAACAATAATAATAATAATAATAATAATAATTTCTTAACAGCAACCAAAAGGGATGAAGGTTTACTTGCATTTCTCTTGGCTGGTCTATTAGGGCACATGGTTACTTTTACCAAATCGCACCTTTCAAGGCAGCGGGCAGAGCAGGAGTGAGCAGGTGTCAGGCTGAAGTGCTTTGTCAACAGGTGGGCGCTGCGTTCCCAGGCACACAGACTATGCGGCTGTGTACACATCTAACGTCAGGGCGAAAAAGAAAGTAAGTGGCTGTTTCCAAGTCCTACATCTACGGAAAGCATCTCCCGCCTGTTTCATGCGGTCCGTGCGCCACGCAAGGCGTCTGATAAGCGTGTAATGGGCGTGCGGAGGGATGGCCGTCCGCGCCGTGCGGGGCAGGCAGCGGTTATCTGTACGGTGTAACGCGGCGGTCATCGCATTCGGACCGAAGAACAATATTATTACAGTATGAAAGGCGCTCTCTCTCTCTCTCTCCCTGTGTGTGTGTGTATATATATAGGCCTATATATATATATATATATATATATATATATATATAATCATTCATGAAAAACAAAGTTCTGTATACGACAATAATGTTCATTCTTCTTATAAAAGGTGATACTTATACAAAATATTAATATTAACATTTTATTCTTCACGATTATATTTAACATCGACTAGATTATTACTGCAAATTTTTAAGTTTTCTTTTTTTACTACCTATACCGTCATTGCCTAAACAAATTGGCGACATAAATTGCTGACAGTAAATGCAAAGCGGTTTTAATAAAATACTCGGATTAAATATGTAAGACAAGTTCGTGAGACGACTAGAAGTCAGACGGTGCCTCTGAAGACATTCTTTGAATAACTTGCATAAAAACAGCGAGGGGAAAATTAATGTTTTTCATAACATGAGATAAGGGTGGCGGGCAGCGCAGCTGAGCTTCTCCATATCCTGCCACGCTTGACGCTTGGAAGCTATTAAAGACCACAGAAAGAAATAAAGAAACGCCGCACAGGAGATGGAAAAGGGCAGTGGGCTGGATGCGGAGCGTCCCTTGTGCCTGAAAGCTGGTGTTTCCTGCCCCTTTTGTAAAACGACGAGCGAAAGCCATTAAGCAACCTCAGGTTTCAGATCTGATGGCCACCATACGTTCACAGAGTAATGCTGCAGCGCTCATTTTAACGTGCATTAAGATCGGTGACTGCATCAGCTTTTTCCCGCGCTGAATGGAAATCACCGCTGCATGAAAAGTGGGGAATGTGTTGTTAACCTCCTTTACTGTTTAGCACGGTGTTATGAGCCTGCTGGGCTTCTGTGGGAAAGGATTTCTCCTCTGATGGTTTGGTAACAGCTTTCATAAACTTGGGCTCCCTCGGAGAATTTCTCCACTAAAGGAGAGGCGGCAGGGCGCAGCCAGTGGCTGTAGCAGGTGATGGGAATTTCGGTTTCAATAATGAACCTTCACTGCAGTGCGAGCGCCCAACCTCATAAGCCATATGTACATATATCTCATTTGTGACACTGGATCATATTTTATCTAGTGTGATATTTTAATGTTCCCAGTCTGTATATAAATGAAAACATTTTAATGCGTTATTGATTGCCTCATTTGAAGGTAATGTTGTATAGTGTTTATCATAAAGATATGTAAAAATCAGGGTTTATCTGTGCTTGACTTACGGTCCAGCAATTCCCTTTTGTTCAAGGTAACGTGGGAAGCGATGCACCAATCAATAGATTTTTATGAGTTTTTGTTACAAATGTTTAAAAAATGCATACACAGAAATAGCTATTATTTTATGCACAAGTTCGGCTAATATGAACCGGCTTTATATTATTTGACAGATGATAAAATCGTGGGTAACTGATTCTTCTGTTTGAAAAAATATTTAATTTTGGTCCTGCTATGCTTAAATGGATCAATTACGCCAAAGCGTAGGAAATAATAATTAAGATCGATTGATGTAGATATGTCGGCATTGCTTACATCTCCCCCCCTCCCTTTCCGTGCCACAGCACAGGTCCGGGAGATCAGTTTGGTGCCTTCACTGCCATTCAGTGTCCAGCGCGGCGGGACGTGCGCCAGTTTGCCTTTTACCAGGAAAGCCAGCCGTCGCCCCGGAATTGTTTGCTATCCGCAAGGCTGATGCGCGCTTCTCTGTCCTGGGTGGAAAAGCTCCTCTCCCATTAGGACATTTTTAAAGTTAGAAATAAAAATAATAAAAGAACAGGCGGAGACTGAGCCGTGACTCGAATTGGCTACAGGGCGGTATGAATTTAGGATTAACTTTACAGGTATTACTCTCTTTGTATTTTACTTGAACCGATTCGAGGACTGTAGACGCACCGTTTGGGCTTCTTTGTCGTACTTTTGACGATGCATGCCTGCACATTGATCAGGGAAACCTACTGCATGTAAGGGAAGTCGAGGCATCTCATTTCGAAATATTCGCTCCGTTTCTCTGAGCATTGATTGTCCAGTCTAAAGTATTTACTTATAGCCTATTAAAAGTATAGCCGCGCTTCAAATTTCTATAATAGTCTGTCGTCGCTGTATATGTTTTCGCATAAGTTTAGGGACACATGTAAAAGTGACAGGTGAATCTAGGTGGACGTTGTTATGAACAGGTGAAAGTAAATATGCTTTTTTGGCAACAGCATAAATTACATAAATTACACGGAATGGGCATTACTGTCGCGGTATGCACAAGCGGAAGTCAGTTATAGTCTGATTATGTTAATTCTTCTGGAGCTCTTTATCTTCCTGGTATTTACATTCATATTTTATGTCTTGTGTCATACTGCAGTTTAGGACTCAGAGCACATCCTAGTATTGCTGTCAACTCTGGGCTAGCAGCAGATCGCATTGAGTAGCCTAGCTGTTATGAAATGTGCGAGGTACGTAACCTTCGCTCTTTTGGTGGGATGGACCGCCGTGAAATATACATACGGTCAGATCATTTTTTAAATTGAAAGATATTGTATCTTTTTACAATATTGTAATTTGTATTCGTAAGTATTATTTTAATATTCGTAAGGATCTGCAATATAGGATGTTTAAAAAGTGATTTATGTTCAGGGATCCGTAGTTGCGTCGCACGTGGACGATACGGGCATCACACTTATTTATTTGTGATTTTTCACTTTCAGAAAATAAACTGTAGACCATTTTTCTCCCTATAGGCAAACACACAACTATTATTCTAAGTTGATGACTAAATACTTCATAGTCAACCTGACTCATTTTGTATGCTAATTCTATTGTCACTCTGTATAATTTTGGCAAAAATTTTGGCAAAAAAATGTTTTGTATGCTTTTCCAGAACTGACATCTAGCGGGAAGTGTGAGAATCAGCCAAAGAACTTATCCTGGAGCGGTAAGTAGGCTATATTATTCCGTTGTTGTACAGAAAGAACACCGTTGTGAGGTACCTAGCTTATACTTATATGACTGATAGATACATGCAGACTGAGGCTGCGTGCTGCGGTGCTTCATGTACCCAGCCACCGATTCCTTCATGTGCTTCTGAGGCTGCCCGCTTGTCCATGTTATGCTCCTTTCATGGGTCTTGATTTTACCTGTTAGCATGTTTAGGGCGTTCTTGGGTAATGAAGTGGCCTGCAGTGACGGCTTGTATTGAACAGTAATAATATATTTTAGTAAATCTGTGATGATAAAGTTTGCTTATTCTGTTTCGATGATCCAAAGCAGTCATACCAGTGACTCAGTTGCCTGATTTTTGTTTCGGATATGCTGCACTAATACGGTATTGTCGGGTTCAGACGAGCATTGCGTCGCAGAGCATAACTGTCAACGCGTCTTCAACCGTGACCGGTTCGGAGGATACTGTGCTAATTATCTCTTCATGGTTACATCTGCAGGAAAACCCGTTTGCTGCAATTTCAACCCATCCCAGCGTGTTTGTAGTGCAAGTTTTTTTTCCCAAATTATTTTTTTTACAAATCATTGAATATGAGACAAATTGAATTGCTTGGGGTGAGCCGCAAGTTAGATAATCAGAGATAAAACTGGGGAAAAATATTCTCCACGGGGGAAAAATCACAGGAAAAAAAACTAGCTGACTCCTAGAAAATATTAATCAGGAACGCTTATATTTAACTGATTAAGGCTTCATGGGTAATATTGTAAAAATTACATGTTTGCGCTACAGTCATGGGGGCGAATTTACAGCTGGTAGTCAGCAGCTTACGTGTGTTTTTGGACTCGAGGCTATAAGGGCAGTGGGCAACTGAAGATTCCACCGCCCCCCGAATGAAGCCAATTTATTTTCCCATCAGGGGCTCAATCGGAGACCGGCACGTTCCAGATCCGACTCTCGATGTAGGCGAGGGCTCAGCCTGTACGGGGGGGGGGGCGTCTTAACCAACCAGGGTGCTGTAAAATCCGCTCGGCTTCCTTACCGATCAGCAGCGAGCTGCAGGGGCGGCGTGCCATCAAGCTGGTTACCGGTATGGGTGAGTGATTACAGCTGGCCACCATGTGCCCCCCATTCACTCGGCTAGAGTCTGGACAGATGGAACGGGACAGGAGCGGTGCTGCGGTTCCGAACAGGAAGGATTAACATCCAGCCGAAACTGTCAGTGTCGTACTTAGGAAAGGTGGTCTCTTTCATTCCGGGGTGGGGGATGCGACTCGTGTTTTTGTTTTGAGAGGGCATTTCGGGGACTGTACCACAGGAAATCTAAGCAGTGAAATGGAAATGTGCCACTAATGAGCACTGTAGGTAACAGTATGGTAGCTGAGGTCCAGTCATGCACAGCCTCCCTGTCAAAAACCTGTCATGTCATCATCGCGGCCTCTCTGGTTAATGATCCATTTATAAAGTATAACTCTAATGCCCACCTGGTCCAACTAATGATTTATTGGAAACTTCTTGTCTTAGTAATGGGCACTGGCCAGTCATCACCATGGTTGGTAATATAACAAGTGTTAGGGACACCTGAGAGTGTGTCAGGGAGAACCTGGGGTGGCCGTCACTCTCTGTCACATCCCGGCCACCTAAAGTGTGCAGCGGTTTCCCGACAGAGTGGTATGGCTGCTGGGGCACTTCTCATTGGATAGAGCCAGTGCTGCTTTGGGTATTGGGCTGGAGCTCATGAGTGTCCCACTCAGCTAGTCATGTGCTTAGAGAGCAGCGTACGCTTGGAGAGTGTAAACACCGGGTGCTTTGCATATCCTCATATGTTCCAGTTCGGCTTCTCCTCCATCCACCGCCATCAGAGCTGCGTGGAGATTCCTGTAGCTGAACTTTCTCAGGGGGTGGTGTTTGAGCTTGTCACACTTTAGCAGAGGATCTGTGCTTCTGTTTCATATTCCTGTAGCTGTGACCCCTGGTTATTTGGAAGAAAGAGGAAAGGAATATGTAAGTATGGTTTAAAAGGCTTGCTGAGTCTTCAATGGATGTACAAGTATCTTCTACTGTTTACATTCAGGCTGTCGTCCAAGTGTGTGAGAGAGAGTTCCGGGGCTGTGGAGAGGGTGTCCCTGTACCTCTGCAGGATCCAGCACCTGTTGGCATGGGGTGTTTATGACATATGTTTATGGTGTGGTTTTAAAAATCAAATCAATCAAATCAAACATGTGTGACATTGTATAAATAATTCTCCATCCAAGGTCAAATAAATTAAATCTCTCATTATTTCCCCTTCTATAAAATGACTGTCTACTCCTTAGACAAATAAAGGGTCATATGTCCTCTTTCAGGCCAGTTAATCATATTATTTTATTTATTTGCTAATACTGTACCTTCTGTGGCCTGCTTACTTTCTTGACGTAACTGAAGCTCCTCTCATTGTATTTGCACACCTGTGGTTTGAAAGTATTCTTTAACTTCTTCATATGTTTAATCTACTACCCTTTAAAGTACACACTTCCCTTTTCACTGGAGGAACACTAAATATTCGACAAGCGTAGCAAGAACAGGAACACTTCGAATCGTTTTTTGAGAGTGGATGTTGACACAATAAGTTGGATGAGCTTCACTGGCAGATTAAATACCAGAGAGAAGTGGGAAACTTTTGTGTTTTCACCTTCACGGAAACTTGGCTGAACTCAGACGTTCCCTGCTTGGCTGCCTAGCCCTCAAAATTTGTATTACAGTGTAAGATGCCGTCCACTGGCAGGCACAGGAGCGTGGCATGTGTTTTCTCAACAGCAACATCGGATGTAGAGACACGACGGTACTGGAAAACATCATGCACCTCGTGGCTTGAGGCTGACTCTCCTGCCTGCAGCAGGATCTCAGCTCTGTTCTTCTTGCCGCTGTTTTACGTCTTGCCGCAGGCAGATGCCCAGGCAGCCATTAGTGAGCTGTACAGTGTGATATTCAGACGGGAGAGTTGAATCCCAAGACTGCCTCCATCACGATGAGGGACTTTAACCACTGAAATCTGTGGAAAGTTCTGCCGTTTCACCGGTAACACGCTGGACCACTGATACACCGCTGGCCAAACTTCAGCAGGTCAGCTCGCACTTCTGTCTCGAGGCTGAGAGCCTCAGCCCATGCGGAGAGATCCGTACAGCTCTCGTCCTGTGGGGTGGGGAGTGCAAGTAACTCTCTGCCTGCCTGGAATGCTTAGCCTGGAACACGTTCGCCGACTCATCCATGAACATTAACCAGCATGCAGAGATAGTCGCACAATATATCAAACACCGTGTTGATATTCATGCGCCTAAACAAAGCGCATTTCTAAACCAAAATCCCTAGTTCAACAATCACATAAAGAAGGCCTGATGTTTTCCGCTCCACATGGGCGATCCAGGAGAGCCAGGACCTGGAGGGGGATATCAGACACGCAGAAAGGGATTACAAAGACCAGTTGGAATCGCAGTGTGGGGGTGCCGACGCAAGGTGTCTCTGGAAAGGCCTGCAGGCCGCCACCAACTACAAAGAACGGAGGTGTCTTACATCACGTTAGCTGATGTGCTGAATAAATTTTATGCATGGTTTGTGGATGGAATATGGAGCCGACGCACAAAGCTCCCAGTGAAGCAGGGAATCTGTGCCGCAGCTGTCAGAGCAGGATGCGGGCAGGACTTGCAGCAAGGTCGCAGCGTGCGAGGCCTGCCAGCCCCGGTGGCACCGCGTCCCTTCCTGTGCTCCGAAGACATGTGGGCCACAGCGGGACCCCATTTTCACTGACACAATGAACATTTTTTTTTGGTCCCTGTCCTGTGTTCCATCGTGCCTCAAGAGGACTACAGTTGTGCTCCTGTGCTGTCATGTCTGAATGGCCACCAGGGGGCGGCGTGTGACTTTATGGGTTAAGACTCTGTGCCCGTGATCAGAAGGTTGCTGGTTCAAATCCCATGGCTAGCAGTGTGATGCCACCACTGGGGCCTCCAGCAAGTCCCTTAACCCCTAGTTGCTCCATTGGTGCTGGATGCTAGCTGGCCCTGCACTCTGACCCTGAAATTTGCTCTCATTTGTATTTGTGTCTCAGGAAGTTTTCATTGACTTCAGCTCAGTCTTCAACACCATCAGGCCAGGAAAGCTGGTGAGCAAACTCAGTCGACTGGGCATCTACAGCTCCACCTGCGATTGGATCCTGGATTTCCTGACAGACAGAGACCAGGTGATAAGTATCGGCAATAAAACCTTGTTCCCTCTGGTTCTCAACATGAGGTAGCCCTCAGGGCTGCTACCTAAGCCCAAGGCTGTACTCTCCACCTGTGACCTTGTGACCAGGATCAGGAGGAACCACATCACCTAGTCATAGAGGAGTGAGGCATTGGGGCTGGTGGAGTGGTGCTACTAGAATACCTTAAACCCGAACATCAATAAAACAAGGCAGGGATGCAGCCGGAGGCACAGAGCGCTCATCAGTGATGGATGTCCTGTGGAAAGTGTCGGCAGCATCAGCTGCACATGGTAGGCAGGATGAACACTGGATCAGAAGCCTGTCAGGATGAACACTGGATCAGAAGCCTGTCAGGATGAACACTGGATCAGAAGCCTGTCAGGATGAACACTGGATCAGAAGCCTGTC